ATGTGCGATGGTGAAGCCAGTTGTGGAGCAGACTCCTCTCGTTGTGCTAGAGCCTGAGGCCGGGGAGGGCTTACAGGCTGTTGCAGCTGCTGTGAAGGCGAACCCGAGCGTCGTGCTGCTTGATAGCGGATGCTCCCACCATCTCATGGGAGATCGTTCTGCCTTTGTGGAGATGAGCAGCGGCGGCGGCATTAAGCAGGTTACCGGCTTCAACGGCGCCCTTCAGGAGGTGCAGGGGCGAGGCACAGTCGCTCTTCTTGGGGAGGGGGGCAGGCGTGTCTTGGTGCCGGACGTGCTGTACGTACCAGGAGTGCAGGCGAGTCTTCTCTCTGCTGGGCAGCTGCGTGATAGTGGTGTGCAGCTGCTGGATGCCGGGGATGTGACTTTGCTGCGGGCACCAGATGGATCGCTCCTTGGTCGTGCGGAGTTCAAGGGGCGTGTTCTCTGCACGAACTTCCAGCCGTGTTCGACGCAGCAGCAGGAAGGCGAAACGGTGGCACTTCGTACCTTGGCGACCGGCGTACGGTCTAAGGGGGACCTGTGGCATGCGCGTATGGCACACGTTGGTATTGATGCCATCGAGCGCACAGCGGCTCACGGGTCAGTGAAGGGCTTGGATTTGGAGAAGGGGGGCAAGTCAGGCATACCTTGTGTCTCCTGTGTTGGGGGAAAGATCACTCGTCATACCTTTCCTTCTGTGGGAGAGGAGGAGGATGAGTTGCTCGGGTTGGTGCATGCTGACCTGTGTGGCCCTTTCCGTGAAGCAGCTAAGGACGGCAGCCGCTACTTCTTGGTGCTGAAGGATCGCAAGACGCGATATGTCTGGGCCTACCCTTTGGCCCAGAAGAGTAATGCGCTGGCGGCGTTCCAGAAGTGGCTCCCGATGGCAGAGCGACAGTGCAAGACCACGGTGCAGGCGCTGCGCACTGATCGGGGTGGCGAGTTCCTGGGGCACGACTTCACGCTCTTCCTCGACGGTAAAGGCACCATCCATGACCTCACATGCCCGTACACGCCGGAGCAGAACGGGATGGCCGAGAGGGAGATGCGCAGCATTGTGGAGGCGGTGCGGACGATGTTGCTGCACATGGGTGTGCAGCATCACTGGTGGCACCTGGCGTTGGCTCAGGCCGTCTGGGTGCGCAACCGCGTGGAGCACGCCTCACTACCCTCTGGTGTGACGCCGTACGAGCTCGCCTTCCGACGCAAACCTGATGTCAGTATGGTGCGTGTTTGGGGCTGCATGCTGCAGTACATGGTACCACAGTCGCAGCGTGGGGGGAAGCTGGCGCCTAAGGCTCGCTGGGGGTTGCACTTGGGTGTGTCAGCTGCGAGCAAGGGCTGGGCCGTGCTGGACTTGGAGTCCAACCGCCTCAACACCACTGTGGAAGCTGTGTTCTATGAGACCATGTCCCTAGCAGGATGGAAGGCTTGGCATCAGCAGGAGCATGGGGGGCGTTCGATGCCCTATGAGCCCCTCCCTCACTCTTCCCGATCACTCTCGAGGAGGCGGAGGAGGAGGAGGAGGTGGTCGCACCTCCTGCTATGCCCTATGTCCCTACCTCGGTCCCCACCCCACCTCCGCCTTCAGTCTACCCTCGTGTGATTCCCCCTGCCCCGCCTTTTTCCTCCTCACCCCCCTTGGCTTCCCCTCCTCCTCCTGTTATTCCATCTCCCCTTCCACCCTCCATCCCTCCTGCACCTGCTCCGCCCTCTTCTTCGTCTTCCACGGCGCCGCCCGTTGGTGAGGGGGGGATGGAGGTGCCACCGTCTGTGGAGATCACCGACGGGCAGCGCCTTGAGACTGAGCAGCTGCAGGACGAGAGCAGTATGGATGGAGTACAGCAGAGTGGGGGGCAGGAGACAGGGGAGCAGCAGACAGGGGAGCAGCAGATTGGGGAGCAGCAGACAGGGGAGCAGGAGATGTGGGGAATTAGAGATGGTGGTCGTGTGTTGGTTTCTGGGACGACCACTGCACCACTGCGTCGCTCCACTCGCATCACTCGTGGTGTCCCGCCTGTTCGATACGCTTGGGCTGTAGTGGTTGAGCCAGCGGGCTTGGATGACGAGGAGGAGGACGAGGAGTGGACTAACCTGGACCCGGACGTGGCAGCTGATCCTGAGAGGCAGTGGGACATAGCGAAAATGACAGTGAAGGAGGCCTTGGGCTGCTGGAAGGGAGACAAGGTGAAGGAGGCGATGGATGAGGAGATGCGGAGCTTGATTGAGCAGGGGACGTGGGAGTTGGTTCCGCGTCCGCCAAGGGTGAATGTGATGAAGAACCGCTGGATTTTGAACACCAAGTTCCGACCTGATGGGATAGTGGAGCGTGAGAAGGCGAGGCTGGTGGTGAAGGGGTTCACGCAGGTGGCAGGGGTGGACTATGAGGAGACGTACGCCCCTGTGGGAAGCTATGTGACGGCGCGTGTGCTTCTGACGATTGCAGCTGCACTTGATTTGGACCTGATGCAGCTCGATGTGAAGAACGCGTTCCTCCATGGCGTGCTGGACCGAGACCTTTACATGGAGCAGCCGAGCTACTACGAGGATGGGACTCCTCGTGTCTGTAAGTTGGTGAAGAGTCTGTATGGGCTCAAGCAGAGCCCGATGCTATGGTATGAGGCCTTGGATGGGGTGCTGCTTGGGGCTGGATGGAAGAAGAGCAAGGTGGATGAGGCTCTGTACTTCAAGTCTGATGCTGAGGGGGAGATGTGCTGGCTGCTGGTGTATGTGGATGACCTGCTTGCTGCCAGCCGCAGTCAGAGCATGCTAGCGGAGCTGCGTGACCTGCTGCAGAGTGCCTTTCAGCTGCGGGAGATTAGCCCTGTGGAGAAATATCTGGGGTTGCAGCTGATTCGGGACAGGCCCACGAGGAGGCTGTGGCTGCACCAGGGGGCCTATGTGGACAAGGTCCATAGGCGCTTCTTTGACGGGTAGCAGCCGCTGCGAGTGCCTCGCACCCCTCTTTCCTCTGACCCTTTTAGTGTGCAGACCTTCGAGGATGTGGGATGGCAGTCTCGCCAGGAGGAGGAGTACAGGCAGAAGGTGGGATCCTTGCAGTTCGCGGCCTGTACCACCCGTCCCGACATCTCGTTCGCCTGCAGCAAGCTGGGGTCGGGCCAGACTGTGCGGAGTGATCAGCACTGGAAGGAGTTGGACCGGTGCTTGACGTACTTGGTGGGGAGCAGGGATGTGGCGCTGGAGTTTGGTGGTGGGCCGGAGTCCTTGGAGCTGGTGGGCTACGCCGATGCTGATGATGCAGGGGACAAGCAGAACAGGACCAGCACAGGTGGCTATGTCTTCGTGCTCGGGGGTGCTGCTGTCTCATGGGCGAGCCAGCGGATTCGTTGCGCCACCCTTTCCTCCACTGAGTCTGAGTACGTTGCTGCTGTGGAGGCTGGGAAGGAGGCGCGCAGGCTGCGCTTCCTGCTGGCAGAGTTTCAACTGCTGAGGAGTGAGGAGCCCACGACTCTCTTTGTGGACAACTCCTCCGCCATTTCAGTGGCAGGTGGCATGGGGCTCAAGGGGAGCCTCAAGCACATGGAGCGTCGTCACATGTGGCTGCAGCACATGGTCAAGCGCAGGAAGCTGCAGCTGCAGTACATCCCTACGAGCGAGCAGCCTGCTGACTACCTCACAAAGGCATTGCATTTCCCCACCTTCAGTCGTTGCTTCGAGGCTGTGGGGCAGGTGCGGCACTCGAGTGAGGGGAGTGAAGACCTAGACACTCCATGATGTGGATGGTGCCATGGCCTATCCATGGCTGGTGCGGTGCGTGTTTACACTTTGAGCGTGTTTCGTTTGTGTGTATCCCTTTGTTTTGGTGTGTATGTGTGTATGCATGCCCTGTGATTATAAAGGGCCTTGCTGTAGTATGGCAGGGGAGTGTTAGAGGGCCCTACGACAGCAAGGGCCCTCGATGACCTTTGACTTGGCAGGTCGGCGCCTAACGACTGAGTCTACTCGGCACCGACGCACGAGTTCGGTGGCGGTCATTAGTGACTACGGGTGACTGTGAGCTACTGCAGCGAACTCGGCGGAATCGGTGCTAGGAATGACGAGTCTTGGGGGTCGTAGGTGCCTTGCTTGTGAGGCACGCTGCTCACTTGCTGTGTTGGCAGGAGTAGCGTGCACGGTGAGACATTCCGGTGCCGAGTTGGGTTGGAAATGTGCGGGGCGCGTTCACCCACCTGCACAGCACTTTCGTGTGGGTTGGGTTACTCGCAGCGCCACGCAACAATTGTGCAACTCTTGCTTGCCTATATATGTTTGTGTTTGCTTGTGTGTTTGATAATTGATATTGCAATTCTACTTGGCCCAAATGCTACTTCAATTCTCACAAAGTCCTTAGAGGCAAACGCTACCGAAACTCTACCAAGTTGCTGGCGCAACATCATTCCCATAGCAGAGACTCTCTCGCTATCGCTACGCTCTCTAATATATTCCTTCATCATCATGAACCCGCTTCTCTCCGTCCTCCTATCCGCTTTAATCTCCTCCCTCTTCGTGCTATCCTTGTACGTATGGGAGGTTCCCCGCATCTTGCGCGGGGCTCCACCGGCCAATCGCGACGACCCACGTGTCGTGTGCCAGCGAATCACGAGCGTGCTTGGTTCCTGCGTAGCGTCCGCCGCCATTGTCACGGCTGTCGCGAAATTTGGCCTGGTATGTTCCAGCAAGTGTGCTCGGATGGTAATCTCCTTGTCCCCCATCGAGAATTATTCTGCACTGCGCTTTTTTTAGTCAACTTAAAAGGTGACTTTTGAGTCGACTCACAAGTGTGCTCGGAAAGTAATCTCCCATCCACATCGAAAAATATTCTGCACTCCGCATTTCATTGCTCTCAAAGTATATGTGCATTCATTATGCATCATTTGAAGTTTCTTAACCTCTTCAAATCTACCCCCCTTGAAATGAAGGGCCGACCCGACCTCCTTCTGATACCACGTGCTTAACACAAACAAACCCTATCCTCGTCTCGAACCTCTCTCTCATACCAAATGTTTAACACCAAACACCCCCTGTCCTGTGCTTGCTCTGCACTCCGTTCTGTCTGCACTCCACTGCTTCTGCTTTCTGTGCCACGTGGCGTGATGCAGTTGGACGACACCCATGCCCCTCCGCCCTCTGTTCCTCGCCTTCTTTCTCTGCAACCTGACTACCTGGTAAGGAGGTGATTTTCCTGCAACTCAAAAATCAACTCTGCAACCTGACTACCTGGTAAGTTACACTTCTAGATTGCTATTGCTTACAAGGTCAGTTGTCAACCCCTTGACTTTTTCATCGCATTTGATTAAAAGATATAAATCATTCATACGCCGTCCCGGTATAGCCGCAGGGATTGCCATTACTGCACCACACTCCCTCTCCCACCTGTCCCCTCCCCCGTTTCTCTTCCCCCATTTCCCCTCCCCTTTTTCCCCTTCCCTCACTTCGCCTCCCCATTTCCCTTCATCCATTTCCCCATGCCTCTCCGCTGCCCCTCTCAACCAGCAGATCTCCTCCCTCGCCTTCCCTTCTCTCCCCCACCCGTTTCCCCCCTTCTCTCTCACTCCTTCATTCTCCCCCTCTTCCCCTCCCCCCTCCCAACCACCAGGTCCCCTCCCTCGCCTTCCCTTTCCTCCTCGTGGCTCTCCTCTTTCTCGGCCCTCTCACCCTCTCCGCATTCAACTCGCTCCAAGCCCTAGCCACTGCGAGGCATAGGAACCGCCATTACACCGCTCTAGCTAGTGGGTCTACCGATGGCGCTTCTGATGGTGCTGCTTCTGGTGGTGCTGCTGCTGTTCCACATGCATCTAAGCCGCTGGTGCTGCCAGTGTTCCCAACTGACCTGCTGTTCCACGCCCGCAACCTGGTGGTGGTGAGAGAAAGGGCAACCAGTGGGACATGTGACGGGTAAAAGGGAAAAGGAGGGGTTTGTTGCTGCTGTTGTTCCACATGCATCTCAGCCGCTGCTGCTGCCAGTGTTCCCAACTGACCTGCTGTTCCACGCCCGCAACCTGGTGGTGGTGAGAACAGGGGCAATGAGGGTGGCATGTGATGGGTGAAAGGGAAAAAGGGAGGGGTTGTGTGGTACTGCTGCTGTTCCGCATGCATCTAAGCCGCTGCCAGTGCTACCGAGTGACCTGCTGTTCCACGCCCGCAACCTGGTGGTGGTGAGAACAGGGGCAATGAGGGAGACATGTGACGGGTGAAACAAACAGGGGTGAAACAAACAGGGGTGAAACAAACAGGGGTGAAACAAACAGGGGAAGGGAGGGACGTGTGCTATGTGCTGTTCCACATGCATCTAAGTCGCTGCTGCTGCCAGTGCTCCCAACTGACCTGCTGTTCCATGCCCGCAACCTGGTGGTGATGAGAACAGGGACAACGAAAGAGACATGTGATGGGGGAAAGGAGAAAGGAAACATGTGATGGGTGAAAAGTGGTAAGGGGAAATGCTGAGATATCGTGGGGCAGACGTGGACTAATTCCTCATGGGAGAGAGAATACGAAGAATGGGGGCGAAGAGGAATTTCGTGGCTAAAGCTTCTTCCATTGTCTTCTCTCTCTCTCGTCACTCTCTATTCATCTTCCCTTCTCCCCTCACTCATTCCCCCGTGTGTGATAAGTCGAGTTTTGAGTCGACTCAAAACTCGACTTATCGCACTCTCTCTCTCGTCACTCTCTATTCATCTTCCCTTCTCCCCTCACTCATTCCCCCACGTTCTGCCTTTCCTTCACTGTAACTTCCACCCCACAGGCTCCTCTCAGTGAGGAGTTCGTTTTCCGGGCAGCCCTGTGTCCGCTTCTTCTTGCAGGCGGCTTCTCGGTCACCTCGACGGTTTTCATCTGCCCGCTTTTCTTCAGCCTAGGTGCTGTTTCATACAATGTCTACTCTTTTCTGCTCTCCACGCCACTTTTGAAATGCCTCAGGACTCTCTTCACCACTACTTTCCACTTTTGAGGCGCCTCAATAGTAGACACCACTTTTGAAGTGCCTCAGAACTCTCGTCTGCACCACTACTTTCCAGCTATGTTGGTGTGACTTTAGAGATTTCTCAAAAGTCACACCACCACTTATGGAATGCCTCAGAACTCTCTTCACCACTACTTTCCACCACATGTCGTCTCTGCTCGTGTTTTTGTTGTGTAATTTAGTTGTCAGCACCTTACTCGTCTTTGTGCTCCTAGTGAATTGAGATCCTACTTTTACAATGCCTCTCCTTTCTTCCCCCACAACCCCCCGGTCCCCCCCCTCTTCCCCCCTCTCCCATGGCAGCACACGGCCATCACATCTGGAATCTCGTGCACTACCATCGCTGCTCCCTTCCCCAAGCTCTTGCCACGGTTGGTGTGTCCCCCGCACGCTCATCTGCTTGGCATGCACACTTCTTGAGTCGACTCAAAAGTCAGCTCTTGCCACGGTTGGTGTGTCCCCCGCACGCTCATCTGCTTGGCATGCACACTTCTTGAGTCGACTCAAAAGTCAGCTCTTGCCACGGTTGGTGTGTCCCCCGCACGCTCATCTGCTTGGCATGCACACTTCTTGAGTCGACTCAAAAGTCAGCTCTTGCCACGGTTGGTGTGTCCCCCGCACGCTCATCTGCTTGGCATGCACACTTCTTGAGTCGACTCAAAAGTCAGCTCTTGCCACGGTTGGTGTGTCCCCCGCACGCTCATCTGCTTGGCATGCACACTTCTTGAGTCGACTCAAAAGTCAGCTCTTGCCACGGTTGGTGTGTCCCCCGCACGCTCATCTGCTTTGCATGCACACTTTTTCTAACCTTGTTTTGAAGCAACTCAGAGTGTGTTCTACTGACACACTCACTTATTCACTCTCTCACACACTCACTTAGTCACTCTCTCACTCATTCATTTTGCTAAACAGCTGAACGTGAGACCTCTTTCTCCTCCGCCATGTTTCTTCCTCTTGAAATTCGAGTATGAAGAAGTGTTTTGAGACGTCTCAAAACACTCCTCCGCCATGTTTCTTCCTCTTGAAACTCTTTGTTTTCTGTGCGCGCGTCAGCCTGGGGAAAGTCTACTTTTGAGGCGCCTCTTTTAAGGCGCCTCAAAAGTAAACTCTTTCTTTTCTGTGCGCACGTCAGCCTGTGGGCTCATGCTTTCTCTCTTCCCTCTCTTTCCCCGTCTCACCCCGTCCCTGCCTTCACATGGCTGTTTGGCTGCCTCACTGCTTTCATCATCCTAAGAACGGGCAGCCTGTGGGCGTCAGTTCTAGCTCATACTATCTCTCACTTCTCACCCTCTCCCCCATCCCATCCCATCCCATCCCATCCCATCCCATCCCATCCCATCCCATCCCTCTCTCCCCTGCCCACCCCTTCTCTTTGTTCAGGGTTCCAAATGGCCTTCACATGGGTGTTTGGCTGCCTCGCCGCTTTCATCATCCTAAGAACGGGCAGCCTGTGGGCGTCAGTGGCAGCTCACGCGTTCTGCAATGCCATGGGGGTTCCTGATTTTCAAGCAGCCCTGACACACCGGCACAGATACGGTGAGCCGGCGCAGATATGGTGTATCTGTGAGGCGAGAGAGACTCCTAAACCCTGAGGTATGGTAGGTAAGCCAGCACAACAGGGGTAGTCTGTGGGCGTCAGTGGCAGCCCACGCGTTCTGCAACGCCATGGGGCTGCCGGATTTCCAAGCAGCCTTAGCACATCCACACAGATACGGTATGTCCAGAGGGATAGGGTTTATGGTTGTGTAGGTAAGGCAACACAGCACCTGTGGGCGTCAGTGGCAGCCCACGCGTTCTGCAACGCCATGGGGCTGCCGGATTTCCAAGCAGCCCTGACACACCGGCACAGATACGGTAAGCCAGCACAGATATGGTGAGGGTATCTGTGAGGCTAGAGGGACATTTAAACCCTAAGGTGTGGTGTGCCAGCTCAATGCACAATGCGGTCGCCTGTGGGCGTCAGTGGCAGCCCACTCGTTCTGCAATGCTATGGGGCTGCTGGATTTCCAAGCAGCCCTGACACACCGGCACAGATACGGTGGGTCCAGAGCGACAGGAAAACCGTAAAAGTGTGATAGGTATGCCAGCACCACACGACCACTCTGTGGGCGTCAGTGGCAGCTCACGCGTTCTGCAACGCCATGGGGGTTCCTGATTTCCAAGCAGCCCTGACACATTGGCACAGATACGGTGAGTCCAGACAGAGACGGACCCACTCCCTAGAATATTGAAGGTAAGCCAACACAGCACATGTGGGCGTCAGTGGCAGCTCATGCTTTCTGCAATGCCATGGGGGTGCCGGATTTTCAAGCAGCATTGACACACCCACACAAATATGGTACCGCGTTGTTAGCACAACTCCCCCTCCTAATTGCGATACCGTAAGTAATATAGTCAACATTCAATGCAGGAGTTGTTCTTGTTGTTATCAACCCCGTTAACAACACGACTTATCCTGCTGTTTTCACTATGATGCACAACATTCATTGCATGAGTTGTTCCCGTTTTAATCAACCAACCCCCTTTCTACTACAACTCGCTCTTCTGTGTGCAGTGATATGCTCAGCATTTGTCGCAGGAGTGGCCCTGTTTGTGGCATTGGTCAACCCACTCACAGACCCAGCTCTTTTCAACAGACCAATTGCATCCTGCCACGTCAGCCTTGGGTTCTGCAAATGGCAGTGAAACAAGATGTTCTTATACTTATATATTATATGCAGGAGTGGTGCTTTTTACGGCTTTGAACAGGCCAAGTGCATCACCATCACCAACCCTCACACACCCACCTCTCTTCAACAGGTCCAGTCCAGTGCCTCTACTGGGTTTTGCAACTGGTAGTGATTTGTTGATTCACCCAACCCAACCCAACCCAACCCAACCCAACCAATCAAAGAGGCGGACAAACCATCTCACTATCTCACACAAATGCATCTCACCCTCCTTCAACAAACTTTGTTCTGTTCATACCGTACCGTATGCATGGTCGACTGAACTGTAGCATCAAAAGCCTTACACGACAATATCATGCACTTGTGTCCTTACATAACAATACGACCCCGACTTAGTCCGACAATCTACACTACAGCATATCCTAAAAGCACCAACAGCTGTTTCCAATAAGATTCTGGCAGGCACACAACCATGGTAGCAGAATTTGAAAAAGAATGCAAGAATTTGGCCAGGCCAGGCCAAGTCAACCTGGTCCCTAAACACAGGAAATGCAGACTTGAATCTTCAAGTAGTAGAAGAAAGGGAGTGTGGCAGTAGGGAGCAAGTGGGGTCGAACGGGAAGACCTTCTCTGCTTCCTTCTCTGCTTCAAATTCTTGGCGCAGCAAGCATGTGAAGAGCCGTGGGTCGAGGAGCAGTAGCAGCCAGGAGCAGGCATTCGAACTGCAGTGAAATGATAAGCAGCCGCAGCCGCCAGCAAGCAAGTGAAAAGAAGTGGGTTGAGGAGCAGTAGCAGCCTGCAAGCATGCGAACTGCAGTGAAATGAAGAGGCCACCTGCAGAAACCACAGCTGCACCTGCATCTGCATTGTGGGGAGTGTACGGTGGGGAGTGCATGGTAGGGAGTGCGGGATGGGGAGTGCGTGGTGGGGGGTGTGTGGTGGGGAGTGTGTGGTGGGGAGAGTGTAGTGGGGAGTGTGTGGTGGTGCCTCAAATATCACATTCTGAAAACGCGCCCCAGTTCCCCTCCCCATAAAATAAAATCAACTCTTTGCACACGTTGAGGAAGACAAGACTTACTCACCCTAATCATCCATTCCTCCGGGCACTCCCCCTGCTGCTCATTCCGCACTTGCCTTCTCCTCTTGCTTCCCCTCCTCCACCTTCTTATCCTCCCCCTCTTTCTTCTCCTCCTCTTCCTTCCCCTCCTCTTTCTTCCCTGCCCCCTCATTCTCTTTCCCTTCCTTATCTTGTGCACCCCCCTTGTCCTTCCCCTCCTCCTTCTCCTCCTTCCCCTCCTCCTTCGCTTCTGCAGCATCAGGACCTTCCTTGGAAGCATCCTTCCCCTTGCCGCCCTTGTACTCGTTAATGAGCGACAGCAGCTCCTCTGTATGCGCCACGTCCTTAAAACGAAGCGCCAGCATCGTCAAACCAACTGCTGCTGCTGCACCCCCTTCCTTCTCCTTCTCTTTCTCTTTCTCCTTCTCCTTCTCCTCACCAGTACTGTTCACACAAGCAAACGAAATTCCCCGCCCATCCATCCGGGTTACTTTCATATCCGGGAAAAGATTCGCGTTCAGAAGAAGACGGAAGTTGCCCTTCGCTCGCATGACCAGCCGAGCTGGCCGCTTCTCTGTTTTGGCCTTTTCTGCTGACGTGTCCTTCTCTTCCTTATCTCCCTTCTCTCCCTCTTTCCCATCCGTCTCCTGTTCTTTCTTCTCTTCCTCCTTATTCTCTTTCTCTCCTCCCTTCTTCTCTTCCCCTTCCTTCTCCGTTGTCTCAGTCCCTTCCTTCTCTTCCTTCTCCCCATCCTTCCCCTCCTCCCCCTTCTCCCCTTCCTCCCCCTCCCCCTCCCCCTTCTCCCCTTCCTCCCCCTCCCCCTCCCCCTCCCCTTCCGCCTGCACGTTTAGCCGAACTTCCCCCTTCCCCCGCTCCTTCCACTTCCCCCCCTCTCCGAATTCGAACAGCGTCGCATCCGCCGCGAAAACCGCGCGCTCCTTCTCCTCCCCCGTCGCCACGTGGACCGCCGACAGCGTGACAGCTGGCGCGCCGCTGCCAGCCCCGCTGCTGCTGCCGAACCCGATCCCCAGGCCCGGAGTCGCGCCGATCGCACCGCTTGCGCTGCTCCCATTGGCTGTCGCCCCCGACCCGAAAATGCTGGAAACGGCAGGGAAGATCGACGACCCGCCGCCGGTTGCGGCGGCGGAACCGGCGGCGGGGGATGCGGAGGTGGTGGCGGGGAAGGTAAAGGAGAACGCGGAAGATCCGGACGAGGCGGAAGCGGCAAAGGGGGAAGCGAAGGCGGAAGAGGAGAATGAGGCGAAACCTCCGCCGGAAGAGGCGGCGGTGGTGGAGGAGAGGAAAGGACTGAATCCCGGAGCCGCCTTGGCAAAACCCACGAACCCAGACGGGCTTGCCGCTGCCGGCGCCGCTGCTCCCGCCGCGGCTCCCGCGCCATTCGCTCCCTCCGCCTTCGCCTCCTGCTTGTCGCTCTCCCCCGATCCTTCTTTCTCCGCCGCTGCCTTATCCTCTTTAATGGCGTCTTCGCTAACCTTACCCTCTTCCGTTTTCTTCTCTCCCGCCTGGTCGCCCTCCTTCGCAGAACCTTCCGCCGCCTTCTCCTCCTCCGCGCCGTCGGATCGCGCCTTCTTCGCGCGCTTGCCGCCAGAGCTCACCTCCTCCGTCCCGTCCTCCTCCGCCTGCTCCTTCGCTTCCGCCACGTCGGACCCGCCTGCCACGTCAGCCGCGGCCGGAGCCGGTTTTTCCGGCGGCGCAGCGGCGGCAGGAGCGGCGGGGGCGGGAGACGCGCCGGCGCCTCCTGCCGGCCGGCGCGCTTTAACGATGCGTCGAGTCGCCATTACCTCGGTAGTGGCTTTCTGAAACCCTCCCGCCCAGGGGTTTGATCCTGAAGGCTCCTCGTTGTCTTCTTCCTGGAAATCGTCCTTCGTAATTTGCCGCTCCGACGTGCGCTTCTTATTGGGCGGCGACATTTCCGACGACATTTTTCGTGGGAAATTTGTCGCAGATTTCGTCGCAGTTTGCACTGGTCGGGTAACCAGTCGAACACTAGCGAAACTCAAAGGGAATATTTATACGCTTATAACGCAACGACTTCAGATCACGGAAGCTGGGAAACCACGAATGGGCTCCGCAAACGTTGGCGGTAGGACGGACCAGCCTCCTAGAGAATAAAAAGCTGGTGGGGGGAAAGAAGGATAACGAGCTAACTCCGGAATCTAAGGGAAAAAGTCGCGGGCTGGGGGGTGTTATTGTATAGGGAGTTGGCTCGTGTGGGTTCCATTGAGCCAGGTAGATGCGATTTTATGGGGGGGGATAATGTGCTTCAACGATTAGCATGGGAAAATTTAGAGAGTTTGACTGGAGTGATTGTAATGCGGCGCTGTAAGGAAAGCCAAGGGAGCCAGTTTTGAAAAACAAGGATCGTACAGTCGGATGTTTGGGTATCTTCAGTCCGAATTATAAGCTTCCAACGATGCACGTTATGACGAGTACAAAACGAGGTTGTTTCCAGCAACCCGCCTCTCAGTTTGCTACCGCAACAACGACAAGCTAAGCCCTATCAAGCCGCATTTTTCGCTTAGCGACTAGCATTCGGCTTACGGGACGCAAGCCACTCTTCAGCGACCAGACAACGACTAGGCGATTACCAGGCGGTGACGGGGCGACGACAAGGCGGCGATCAGACGACGACCAGGCGACGACCGCGTCGCAGAAACAAACATCGACGCTCGTGGGGGTCGCGGGCGTGGTCGCGCGAGAGGCAAGCGAGCCGGCGATTCTGTCGCAGGCGACGCACCTACTGCTCCTCCCAAGGCGCGCAGGTGCAGATATCCCGACGCCCTTAGGTTGCTATACAGATTTTGGTTAAATTACACTCAGCCAAGTAGATAGAAATGATTGGGCTGTGGCTCAATCCTACCCCTCCATCTCTTCTAGTTTTGAGGCGCCTCAAAACGAGTCAGGCAGATAGGAGTGCATTGGGTTGTTCTTCAATCTGTTTTTGTTTTGTTTTGTTTTTTTTTTTTTTTTTTTGTTTTTTTTGTTTTTTTTTTTAGAATCCTTAAAAAATAGATTCGTCTTCAATCACACTCTGAGTCAGGTAGATAGAAATGCATAGGGCTGTTGCTCAATCCCCACCCCATCCCACTCCCTTCTTGCAGTCACACACCTACCCCTCCATCTCTTCGCCTCCCCACCCCACTCCCTTCTTTGCAGTCGTAAGTTCGATTCGGCTGACCTGGTGCGCGAGTCTCTTGAAACGAAGCAGCTTAAAGCGCAATGGGCCGTAGCTGCTGCTGCTAGGAAGGCGGAGGAAGAGGAGAAGAGGGCTAAGGAATCTGAGATGAGGGGACGAGACGGGGAACGGGAGGGGGAAAGAGAGAGGGGAATAGAGGGGGGAAGACATGAGGGAGGGAAGGAGGAAGGGAAGGGAAGGAAGAGAAAATTGGATGGTGAGTAACAACCTCTTGCTTTGCGATATCTAGTGCAGGGGGCAAGGGGCAGGGGGCAGGGGGCAGGGGGCAGAGTCTTCTGAGAAGAGTCTTTGCAGAGAGTGAGTAGATAACTTAGCTTGCAATGTGTGGTGCTTTTGAGGCATTACTCGCCCTTAGAAAAGTTAGCACATTGCCCTCCAAACACCCCTCCCTCCTCTCCCCTTCCTCCCTTTCCCAGTGGTTCTATCGAGGAGCGATTAAGTCGACACTGCAGCCTGCGCCTTGCTCTGCCAACTCACCTTTTCGCACTGCTTTCCCACCAACTTTGCCCCCACCCCCCGCCAACCTTCTCACCCTACCCAGAAGAAAATAATTCTGGATTCTGTTTTTATTCTGTCCAGAAGCGATCAAGTCGGCACTCCAGCCTGCTCTCTGCCCTTTGTCATACCTCCTCTCCCCACATTCCACCCTCCCCTCCCCGCCTTGCTTTTGCAGTGGTTGTGTCCAGAAGTGATCAAGTCAACACTGCAGCCTGCTCTCTGCTCTGCAACCTTGCTCTTGCCCTTTGTCTTACCTCCTCTCCCCACATTCCACCCTCCCCTCCCCGCCTTGCTTTTGCAGTGGTTGTGTCCAGAAGCGATCAAGTCAATACTGCAGCCTGCTCTCTGCTCTGCATTCTTGCTCTTGCCCTTTATCATACCTCCTCTCCCCACGTTTCACCCTCCCCTCCCTGCCTTTCTTTTGCAGGGGAGGGTTTATGGGCGGAGGCAGGCGCAGGCAGAGGAGGGGAAGTGAGAGGGTTTAGGGGGAGCGGGGGCAGGGAGGGTTTTGGGGGGGGGCAGAGATGGCATGGGGGGAGGAGTGGAGGGGGGGTGGGCTGTGGGGCGTGGAAGAAGCCCCACAGCCCCCAACGAGGGCGGGCGCAACGTGGTTGTGGGCGCCTGGGATGACGGAAGAGATCCGGTGGCAGACGGAGGGCGGGCAGGGGGGGATGGGGTGAGGAGCGGCAGGGGAGGCAGGGGCGGCAGGGGAGGCAGGGGGAGGGGGAGAGGAAGGGAGGGAGGGGGGGCGGTGGGGGGTGGTGGAGGAGGTGCAGTGGGTTCAGCGGGAGGTGGAGGAGAGGCGGAGGGAGAGGGTTTGGGGTCTTTCTTGCTTGAGGACAACGGCCGCTCACACCAGCATGCTGCAAAACGTGGCCTTGCTCTCGGAGCGATTGCATCACGGACGACTTTTGAGTCGACTCAAAAGTCACCTCGAAAGGGTTTGGGGTCTTTCTCCCTTGAGGACAACGGCCGCTCACACCAGCAGGCTACAAAACGTGGCCTTGCTCTCGGAGCGATTGCATCGCGGACAACGGCCGCTCTAAGACTGCCGTCCAGGGTGGGAGGGACAGCGGGAACAGCGGGACGGGGACGGACGGTGCGCGATGGAGGGAGTGGTGGAACCCCGGAAGCACAGCCTGTGAAAGGCTACCCGGGGGTGAAGAGGACGCGTGACGGGAAATTTTACGTATCGGTGCGGGTCGGGCGAGAAGGGACTTTCCAGGGAGGCCGAGTAGCGTCGCTCGAAGAGGGAGCTCCCTTGGCGGCCATTCTTAGAGTGGTGATGACACGAGATCCTCGAAACAGTGAAATGTGGGACAAGGTTTGGGGAATTCTCGAGCCGCACGAAGTGGGATTTCTGCGTAACAACCTGTCTGTCGCCAAAGATTGGTTTGGGAGGCTGCGTGAGTGCAAGTTTCTTGAGAGACGTGCATGGGGATTTTGTCTTCCGGATAGTTTGCGGGAACTCAAGCCGGTGTGGTTCCGCTGGATGGGAAAGGCAGTGGAAGCAGCAGCAGCAAATGCAAGGGCAGTCAGCCGAGCAGCACTAACACGAGTAGCAACAGCACCACTTGCAGAAAAAGAGCAAGCCTTAGCGGTGGCGACATGTGAAATAATAGCAGCCGTCTCAGCAGTATCAGTAACACATGTCATCATGACAGGAGATCAGCCATCTGATGCATGCGCGGAATCAGCAGCAGTGAAAGCAGCAGTTGCAGATGCATGGGCCGCGCTCGTAGCAGCGGCGACAGCTGCACCGGCACCAGCAGAAGCAGCAGCAGCAGCAGCACCAGACGTTGCTGTAGGGTCAGGGTCAGGCGCAGGCGCAGGTGTATCCATGCCTGCCGCGTTGCTCTCAGACACACCACCTGCAGAGGAGGTGCTTCTTTCTGATCAGTTCGGAGATTTTCCTGAATTTGGGGAAGCATTCTCGGATCCAACAGCGGAAGCAGCATCCCTTGCCCTCCCAGCGGAAGCGACATCCCTTTCCCTCCCAGCGGAAGCAGCATCCCTTGCCCTCCCAGTGGAAGCAGCATCCCTTGCCCTCCTAGTGGAAGCGGCATCCCTTTCCCTCCCAGCGGAAGCAGCATCCCTTTCCCTCCCAGTGGAAGCGGCATCCTTTGCCCTGCCAGCGGAGGCGGAAGCGGATTTGGAGTTCGACTGGGAGAATATTCTAATCTAGACTGGTAAACTGCCGGTAGAGTATTTTTTAGAATTCTCAAAAATACTCTACATCGACTGGGAGAATATTATAGTCTAGACTGGTAAACTACCGGTACTGCTTTAGTATGCTTTGGCGTTTATTCTGTGCCAAATTGCCAATCTATTCGTACGATGCCGGTATTGGTAGCAAAGAGGTACACATTGATGTGACGACGTTGATATTGTTTTTAAGAAGAGGATAATGTGCTCAACACAAGAGCGACTGCTCTTATATGGAGGATATTGCTCCCGAGCCACTTTTTTGCTCAACCATAGTACAGCACTTGTTATTCAGATTTACGAATTTCGTCATTGCAAGTTTTATTCCTTTTCCTGTTGGGAATTTCGATAAGCGATGCACGTTCTGACGAGTGCGACGCGAAGGTCTTCGCCAACACCTGATCTGATCAGCTAGGTAGTTTAGACGCCGCATTTCACGCTCGCAATAGCACAGATTTGGAAGTCGACTTACGCTCGCAAACCCATCCGTTGGCGACCGTCTTCACGCAGCGACCAGGCGACGAGCAGGCGACGAGCATTCGACGACGTTATCGCAAAAAGAAACATGGACGCTCGCAGGGGTCGCGGGGGTCGCGGGCGTGGGGGTCGCGCGAGGGGCAAGCGAGGCGGCGAGTCTGACGCAGGCGACGGGTCCACCGTCGCTCCCAAGGCTCGCAGGTCCGGGTGCCCCGAAGCTCTTAGGTTCGGATGCGTCAAATTTGCTTAGCAGCATTGGGGGTTGGCTTTACACCGGTTTTACCTAATAATTGATAGAACCTCTCGCTCACCCGCTTTTCTTCTTCTTATTCGTCGTCTTCTTCCTCTTCCATTTCCACATCGGTGTATAATAGAATATGGAGCAATGGAAGTGGAGCAACACTTCGCTGAAATTTTCCTCTATAATAGAATATGGAGCGGCTAAAATTTCAGTGAAGTGCTGCTGTTGCTGTTTCTCAGACCGCCCCTTCATTCTTCTCTCTTGCTCACCGCACTGCACTCCTTTCCACTCAGTCGTAAATACGATTTGGATTTTCTGGTGCGCGAGTCACTTGAAGCGAAGGAGCTTAAAGCGAAATGGGCTGCAGCTGCTGCTGCGAGGAAGGCAGAGGAAGAGGAGAAGAAGAGGGGGGAGGCTGGGGGTGGGGGAGAGGAGGGGGAAGTGGAGGGGGGAGGGGAAGGCGGGGAGAAGGGAAGGAAGAGAAAACTGGAGGGGAGGAACGAGGGTAACGAGGAGGAGAGGGAGACGGTTGAGGATGGAGGGAGAGGAAGAGGAAGAGGAAGAGGGAGCGTGAGAGGCAGAGGGAAGGGAAAGGACGCTCCTGCTGCTGCTGTTACAGCAGGCACCGCAACTGTCGGCAGGAGAAGAGGGAGGAGTGCCACTGTGACGGCTGCAGCTGAGGGGGGCGACGCAGAGAGGGGAGACGCAGAGAGGGGAGGAGCAGAGGGGGCAGACGGCGTTAAGGCGGTTGACAAGGCGATAGGTGCTGGAGGTGCGGAGGGGAAGCAGGGGGAGGAGGAGGGAGTGAAAGGGATGTGGGGACGCACAGGGAGAAGAAGAGGCAGAATTGGGGATGAGCAAAAGGAGGAGAAGGTGGGAGAGGGAAAGGAGGTGGGGAGAGAGGAGGAAAAGGTAGGAGAGGAGGAGGGGAGGAGAGCGGAGGAGGAGAAAAGAGAGGAGGAGATGAGTGAGGAGGAGGATGAGGAGGAGGAGGGGATGGAGTGGTTGGGTGGGGTTGGAGGAACGGGAACAGAGGGGAGGGGCCACAAGGAGGAGGAGGAGAAGGTGGAGGTGGGGGAGGAGGAGGGGGATAGTGAGGGGGACGAGGAGCACAGGGCGCTGCATGCGGCGTTGAAGGAAGTGCAGACGGCAGTTGATAGCTGTCAGCAGGTATGGAGGCAGGGGGGAGTGAATGGTGTGGTGTGGTGTGGTGTGGTGTGGTGTGGTGTGGTGTGGTGTGATGTGATGTGGTGTGGTGTGGTGGTGATGCGTGAAGAGGAGTGAGGGGGGAGAGGGGCACACACAAAGTGTTGCATGCGGCGTCGAAGGAACAGACGGCAGTTGACAGCTGTCAGCAGGTAAGGGGGTGGTGCGGTGAGGTTGGAGTGATTTGTTGTGGTCAAGTGGTGAGGGGGATAGTGAGGGGACGAGACGAGGAGCACAGGGCGCTGCATGCGGCATTGAAGGAGGTTCAGACGGCAGTTGATAGCTGTCAGCAGGTAAGGGGGTGGTGAGGTTTGAGTGACGTGTTGTGTTCGAGTGGTGAAAGGGATTGTGATTGGGACGAGGAGCACAGGGCGCTGCATGCGGCTTTGAAGGAAGTGCAGATGGCAGTTGATAGCTGCCAGCAGGTATGGAGGCAGGGGGGAGTGGTGTGGTGCGGTGGTGATGTGTGAAGAGGAGTGGGGAGAGGGGCACACAAGGGGTGGTTGTGTAGTGGTGCAGGCAGGCATGAGAGTCGAGTGGTGCACCTTCAAAACCCCTCTCCTCTTACTGCCTCTGTGCTGGTCGCCCTGTCCCCCCCCCATTCCCTCCCCCCCCCCCGCCCCATGCCTCATTAGCGGGTGGAGGCGCATGGCATGCCTCTGCGTCACCATCTCCTCTCCCTGCACCATGCCCCTCAATTTCTGAGACGTATCAACCGTTTGTGTGCTCTGTTGCGTGCTGCTCTCCCCATGCCCTCCCCCATCAGCTGGTGGAGGCGCATGGCATGCCTCTGCGTGACCATCTCATCGCTCTTCACCATGCCTCCTCGACCGCTGCTGCTGCTTCTGTGCTGGTCGCCCTGTCCCCTCCCCGTTACCCCTTGCCCCGCCCTGTCCCCCTTCACCTGTGCCCCCCCCCCCGTCAGCTGGTGGAAGCACATGGTATGCCTCTCTGTGACCATCTAATTGCTCTCCACCATGCCTCCTCAACCACTGCTCTTACTGCCTCTGTGCTGATCGCCCTGTCCCCTCCCCATCCCCCCTCCCCCCGCCCGGTCCATGCCCCTATCTCAGTTGGTAGAGGCACATGGCATGCTGCTGCATGGTCGTCTCGTCTCCCTCCAACCACCATGCATTCTGAGTTTGGTTGTGTTCCGTGTTGCGTGCTGCTCCCCCCATCACCCCCCCGTCAGCTGGTAGAGGCGCATGTCATGCCTCTGCGTGACCATCTCGTCTCCCTCCGCCATGCCTTCTCGATTATTGAGACGTCTCAACCGTTTGTGTGCTCTGTCCCTCTTGTGTGCTGCTCTCCCCATACTCTCCCATCAGCTGGTGGAAGCACATGGCATGCCTCTGCGCGAGCACCTCATTGCTCTCCACCATGTCTCCTCAACCGCCGCCGCTGCTGCTGCTGCTGCTGCTGCTGCTGCTCGCCCTCTCCCCTCCCTTGCCCTGTGCCTTACCCTGTGCCCTCTCCCCTCCCTTGCCCTGTGCGTTACCCTGTGCCCTCTCCCATCAGCTGGTGGAAGCACATGGCATGCCTCTGCGCGAGCACCTCATTGCTCTCCACCATGTCTCCTCAACCGCTGCTGCTGCTGCTGCTGCTGCTGCAGCCGCTGGTGCTGCCCCTGGTGCTGGAAGAGAGGTGGAGGGAGAAGGAAAAGGAGAAGGAGAAGGAGGAGAAGGAGAGGGAGCGGAGTTGCCTCATGCAGTTTCGTCTCTTTCAGTCTCCTCCGCTGCGACAGTGCTTGTGTGCGTGAATCCCAGGGTATGCAGGGCATGTTTTGCTGATCGAAGATGGCTTGCGAATGTGAATGTTAGGCTGTGCAAGAACGAAGCTCGGTGTCACGATGTGCATACGTCCCAGCGTATTGAAGTCAAGTGTTCTTCACGGTTTCTTGTTTACCACGGCTCCTTGTTTACAAAGTTTCTCCTCGTGCCAGTGCCCTGCATACGTGTCAGCGTTTTGCCAGTGCCCTGCATACGTGTCAGCGTTTTGCCAGTGCCCTGCATACGTGTCAGCGTTTTGCCAGTGCCCTGCAAAACGTCCCTATGAATCTATGATTAACCCCTGCCCTCGTGGCAGCACATGCTCCTCGTGCCCCGTGTCAACCCCTGCGTGGACACTCCCCTCACCCCTCCTGTCAAGAGGTGCTCATAACACTTACTTCCTTCTAACCCCTCCCGACAACAGGTGTTTACCGGCCACGTGGACCCTCATTATATTCACAAATTTCAAGAATGGTGTGCGGCAAGTACATGCACTGGAAGCAGGGCAGCAGCAGGGACTGCTGGCCTGGCAAAGACAGTAGTAGCAGCAGCAGTAGCAGCTGAACAGACGGCAACAGCAGGAGCAGGAGCAGCAGCCAGAGCAGAACAGACGGCTGCAACAGCAGCAGCACCCACATCGGATTCTGCCACAGCTCTTGGAGCCGACCTTGCTCTCCTTCCTTCAAAGAAATTTTCGTCCCTGCTTGCCTCTGGCCTTGTGCCGACTCTGCTACGGACGAAAATCGTGCAACGGTTGAAAAGAGGCACGGCAGGAAAGAGAGGAGATGGAGAAGAGGAGGGGCGAGGGAAGAAGGGGACGAAAGGGGAGGAAGGGGAAGCGGCGAAGGGGGGGAAGACGAAGGATGAGGGGGGGGAGCTGTCTGCTTGTTCAAGAGTCAGTGGGGCGCTCCTGAGGCGAGTCTTTGCAGAGAGTGAGTAACTGCCTCTTGCTCCTGAGCGCGTACATACTCCCTGCTTTCCATTGTGTGGAATTTTTCCCATGCAATGCGACCACCATCACGACCAGCATCAGAAGCAGGACGAATTTTGAGTCGACATTCAAACATCCCTCCGTTCTCGCTTCCTCCCTCTCCCCCCCTATGCAGTGGTTTTGTCCAAGAATGACCAAGTCGACTCTGCAGCCTGCTCATTGCTCTGCGACCTTGGTCTCGCCCCCTCACAATCAGCATCAGAACCAGAAGCACGGGCAGAAGCACAAGCACAAGCAGCAGCAGCAGGAGCAGCAGCAGCAGCAGCAGCAACAGAAGTTGCAGACTCAGCATCAGAGGTGCAGCAAGTTCTGCCCTTCCTCTTCTCCCCAACCACGGGCCTCTCTCCCCCCTCCCTCCCTATCATCGGTTCTTCCCACACTCCCTTCCACTCAGCCTCCTCCCTCCCACCCTCCTCCTCTCACACCGCCTCCCTACTGCCTCCCCTGGCTCCTGATTGGCTCCCGGGTTACGCTGACGTGGCAGCAGCGCTGCTGGCCGTTGGATTCTCCCCATCTCTCCTTAACAGAGATCAAGCGGCCATGAATAACAGTACACACATGCCTTCTGATGTGCACACACCTAATCCACAGTCACCACCCTCTGCTGACGCTGCCGCTGCCGCTGACGCTGCCGCTGCCGCTGCCGCTGCCGCTGCCGCTGCCGCTGCCGCTGCCGCTGCCTCTGCTGCTGATGCGGATGCCACTCCTTTGCCAGATGCATCTGGCGTGGCACCCTCTAACACCCTAACCAATGTATCCTCCTCCGCGCTGGCCTCCCCAAGTCCATCGATCCCCATCCAAGGCGTGGTATCAACCCGACTCCGCAAGATGGACCTTCTCCTGAAAACCATCACTGCACTCTGCATCGGCCAGTCATTCTCCTCAACAAATGTTCCCTCTTCACTATCCCAGCCCCACCTAGCTCTGCTCTTCCTGCACGTGCTTCACCTCCTGGCGGACCACTCCCACCTGCTGCCCCTGCACGCCGCAGCGCTCAGAGCCCTCTCTGCCATCGCTGCTTGCAGCAGCAGCAGTGAGAAGGGCTGTCTGGGGTTTCTCGCCGAGGATCAGTTTGCCTACCGCCTTCTCTGGTGAGTGCTCTGTGCTATGTACTGCCCCAGGCCCACCTAGCGCTGCTCTTCCTGCACGTGCTTCACCTCCTGGCGGACCACTCCCACCTGCTGCCGCTGCGCACTGCAGCTCTCAGAGCGCTCGCTGCCATCGCCGCTTGCACCAGCAGTCAGGGGGGTAGGGAAGGGTTTCTCACCGAGGACCAATTCGCCCACCGCCTGCTCTGGTGAGTGTGGGGTTAAAAGAAGGGCTTTCTCTTCCCTCTGACGTGCTGCCCCAGGCCCACCTAGCGCTGTTCTTCCTGCACGTGCTTCACCTCCTGGCGGAACATCCTCACCTGCTGCCGCTGCACACTGCAGCGCTCAGAGCCCTTGTTGCCATCGCCACCTGCAGCAGCAGTGAAACCGGTTGTCCGGGGTTTCTTGCCGAGGAGCAGTTTTCCCACCACCTTCTCTGGTGAGAGCTGCGTGCTGCTGCTGAATGAAAGGTTGGGTTTCTGCTTGTGAGGCGCCTCAAGAGTTTTCTCACCGCCTTCTCTGGTGAGTGCATTGTGCTGAATGAATGGGTGGGTTTCTCACCCTGTGGTTGGTCGGTCTCCCACCTGCTGCCGCTGCACACTGCAGCGCTCAGATCCCTCACTGCCTTTGCCACAAACAGCATCAGCAGCCACACTCCTGCCTGTAGCAGCAGTGAGAAGGAAATTTGTTGCAGCGTATGTTTTTTGAGAATTCTCAAAAAACATACACCGCTCAGATCCCTCACTGCCTTTGCCACAAACAGCATCAGCAGCCACACTCCTGCCTGTAGCAGCAGTGAGAAGGAGTGTCAGAGGTCGTTACTCATGGCTTGGAAGAGCGGCAGTACTAAGGAAAGCTTTTAGCATGAGTAACGTCAGCAGCCACACTGCTACCTGTATCAGCAGCCACACTGCTACCTGTATCAGCAGCCACACTGCTACCTGTATCAGCAGCCACACTGCTACCTGTAGCAGCAGTGAGAAGGACTGTCAGAGGTTTCGCACCGAGGATCGGTTCACCCACCTCCTTCTCTGGTGAGTGCTGTATGTTGTGTGGAGGGTCAGGGCTGTCTTCCTCAGCGTGCCTTTCACCTGCTGCCACTGCACACTGCGGCGCTCAGAGCCCTCACTGACATTGCCACTTGCAGCAGCAGTGAGAAGGACTGTCAGAGGTTTCTCACCGAGGATCGGTTCACCCACCTCCTTCTCTGGTGAGTGTGGGGTGAGTGTGCATGCGTGGAGTGAAATCGAGTTTTGAGACGTCCCAAAACTCGTGGTAAGTGAAATCGCACCCCGCTTTCTCCCAACACTGGTTTGCCTCCATCCTGAGTGTTTTTTAGTCGACTCTGATTTCCGTCCTCCCCTTCCCCTTCCCCTCCCTATCTCACCCTCTATATCCCTATCTCCCCCTCTCACACCCTCTCTCACTCAAGGGCGTTGTCAGCTGATCCAATCTCCCTGCAGACCACACCTCCTTCGCTCAACACTGGCTCTCATGCCCTCCTTTGCATGGCGGCACCTTGTGTCTTGCAGTTGACTTGAAACTTCTTCCTCCTACTTCCCATCCATCCGTCTTTCACTCCAGGGCCATGGCAGCTGATCCAGTCTCCCTGCAGACCACACCACCTTCACCCGACGTTGTCTCCCATATGGCACCGTCCACCAATCACACTCCGCCACCTGGCAAGCACTGGTGGCTGGCAGCGCTCCCGCTCGTCCTCGCCCTCCCCGCTGCCTCGCCTGCTTGCTCTCGCTTCCGCCTCCGCTGTGCTGCGCTCATGCTGCACCTCATGGTGAGCTGTTCAATCACCAAGTGATGCTGATGGTGAGTGTGTTTTCAAAGGTACCTCTCCCTCTCGTCCTCGCCCTCCCTTATGCCTCGCCTGCTTGCTCCCGCTTCCGCCACTGCTGTGCTGCCTTGTTGCTGCACCTCATGGTGAGTCGATCAATCACAGAGTGCCTCTGACGGTGATTTCATTCAAAGGCACCTCTCCCTCTCGTGCTCGCCCTCCCGGCTGCCTTTGCCTGCCTGCTCTCGCTTCCGCCACCATTGTGCTGCCTTGATGCTGCACCTCATGGTGAGTCGATCATTCTAAACTGATGCTGACTGTATTCATGTATTTGTGTATGTAATTATATCTTGCCCCTTGTCTCCCTGCTCCCTCTCTTCCCTGCTTTGATTCCCTCTGACACACACGCCTCAAACCCCAACCTCCCCTTCAGAATGAATCTCCCCCTCACTATCTCTTTCGCAGGAGAAAAAGGAGGTATCATCACCTGTTTTTGAGTTAACTTGAAAAGTCATTCCAAACCCAACCTTCCCTTGTCCTTTCCTCACTCCCTCTCTCTTGCCCTCCCTCTCCCAGGAGAAAGGGGAGGTACCATTACCTGCTGCTGATCCCACTCCGCCGCCCATCCAGCTGTCAGCAGATCAGATCATATCCTCCTTCGTATCAAATCCCGCCAACAAGCCCACCTCCCCCGGATGCGACCTCCCCCTGCTGCTGCACAAGCTCTACCTCCTCGACGTGTGCCTCGGCCAATCGCAGCCCGCCACGTCAGCGCACGCCATGCGGGACTGGCTGACGTGGCTGCAGGCCGCTGCAACTAAGCTTTCCACCACAGACACGAGGACAGGTGCCGGCCAGGTAAGCACCGTTCCCCACCTACCCACCTCTCTTTCCCCCCTTACCCCAACGCGTTCCCTAGGCCCACAACCCTTTCTTGCTCCTTCTCTTCTACCCCTGCTCGTACACAGCAGTGTTCTTGGGCCTTGTGGTTCTTACTCACACGTACCCGTTGCGTTCTTTTTTGCATTTTCCCTGTGCTGATTCAGGTGCGGCACTGGGCGTTTTTCCTTCGCACCAAGCACCGCGTATTGGCCTCCCAACTCTAGCACAGTGACACGATGCTAGTAGTAAAAAATTGTACTAGTTGATCTACTAACAGTATTTGATCTGGCTTTGTGTGCACCCTTCTGGTGTTGTGAAAAGAGAAAGAAGGAACCATTTGTTTATTGTTGAATATGCTTCAGATTGCACAAAATGTTTCTCTAGTGGTTGCCTGTAACAGTTGACTCAGGTCAACCCTAAACATGTGGTACAGTAGTCGTGGCTTCAAAAAAGGTTTAGGGCAAGGTCAACCTGAAACACCTCGTGGTGGTGGTTGAGGGACTTCACTCCATCCAGCTTTCCAACAGCTGCCCAGCGCTCCCAGGTGACCAAAAAGCCAGACAGTTGACTCAGGTCAACTTTACATGGTAGTATCGAACAGTTGACTGAGGTCAACCCTGAAAACCTCATAGTGGTGGTTAAGAGACTTCACTCCATGCAGCTTCCAGCAGCTTCCCAGCGCTCCCCCTTGCTGGTTTGGAATGGCGTAGAAGACTCGGTGCACCCGCTGATGCACCAATGCCATTGCACACCTGGGAGGGGAGAGGCGCATGTGTGAGGGTGGGAGGATAGCGTGTGAGGAAAGGAATGGATGCGTTTCACCCTGTTGTCTTGAAGTGGCTCAGACGGCTCCAAGAGGTACGCTCAGCAGGAATGGATTCGTCGTTCAGTAGTTTGCGCGGGTGCCTGCAGTTATTTTTTAGGCGCCTCAAAAATGGATGTGTCGTTCATTAGTTTGCGCGGGTGCCTGCAGTTTTTGCTGCATCTTTACTAGCAGGCAGGCAATACGTGGTGCATGGCTCATGCAGCATCGCTCCCACCACCCATCACTCACATGATGCACGGCTCATGCAGCAGGAAGGCATCGAAGCCCGTGCAGAGGTACGGGCGGACAGCAGAGGGAGATGCAGCATTTGGAGAGACAGCAGGGCGGGCAGACGTGTTGGGAGGGACAGCTGAAAGTGCTGGTTCACTGGGCGTGGGGACCTGTGTGCACCAAAAAGAGAGAGATAAAAAGGGAAAACATATGAAATTCTTTTAGTTCACCTTTCACAAATGAGTACCAAGATAACAGGGTATAAGAAGAGGTGGTGTGAGGTAAAGCAACACAGCAGAGACAATCACAAACGTCCCATCGCACGCACCAGTCCCACCCCTCTCACCAGCCCCATACCTCCCATCACCCCACCCCTCCCACCACTCGCACCCCTCCCACCATTCACACCCCTCCCACCACTCACATCATTGCCCTTTTGCCTTTTGAAAGGAGGCGACTTGCCATCTCCCTTCACCTCCACACCTCCCCCTCTCACCTCTTCCCCACCCTCATCCTGCTCTCCTCCTCTCTGGTGCTGCAGCTCTCTCTGCTCCCCTCCTGCGTGCTCCCCTTCTCTCTCCTGGTCCTCCCCCAGTGCTGCCTCAGAACCACCCCTCCTAGATACCCGCTCCCCTGACTCCTCCCCACCGCCATCCATAAACATTGCCTTGTCCTGTGCTGCCTCACTGGGGAACAGTGCCCTATCCCGGGCGGCAGCAGCAGCGATCGCAATCATCATCGCATGCCCGAGAGGATGGCCCAACCTCGTTCGTGCAGATTTCTCCGTCCTGCCGTCGTTGCTCGCACATGGATTGCTGTTTCTCGCGGCTTGTTTGCACGTTGACGTTGCTGTTTCAACTGCTGCTGTGGCTGCTGCTGTCGTTGTTGTGGGAGTGGTCGTTGTGCCCTGCCCCTTTCTTGTCTTCTTGATTCTCCGAGCGGCTGGTGCAGCGGGGTTTTGAGCAGAAGCGAGGATCAGCCCGTTGCTAGGGTCAGCTATTACAGCCATGTTGAATCCCTGAGAGGGAGAAAGCGAGAAACAATGAGAAATGGGGGTGAAGGGGAGGGGAAATGGGTTCAGAAAAGGCAAGAATTAGCCCATTGCTAGGGTCAGCTATTACAGCCATGTTGAATCCCTGACAAAGAGACAGCGAGAAACAATGAGAAATGGGGGTGAGGGGGAGGGGAAATGGGTTCAGAAAAGGCAAGAATTAGCCCATCGCTAGGGTCAGCTATTACAGCCATGTTGAACCCCTGACAAAGAGACAGCGAGAAATAGCAAGATTGGGGGCCAAAGGGAGAGGCAACGGGGTGAGTGGGAGAGGATTTGGGGGAAGTGGAAGAGAAACGGGGTGAGAGGGAGGGAGATGAATTGGGATGAGTGGGAAGAGACGTAGAACGGAAAGGGAGGAGGGAGGGAGGGAGGGGATTGGGAGGACAAGCGGTGGGTGGAAAGAAAGGGAGAGAAAGAAATGCCAGAGGATGTCTCACGAAGTCGAAGCTATGCCAGAAGAAAGGGAGAGGTGAACGCACCTCGACACAGCACGGGCGCAGCAACCCCTCATGCTGCACACTCAAAGGTTCAGCGCAGTCACACGAACCGCACTGATGCCCTCTCCCATGCCCCTCCTCCTCCTTGCGCCTCCCATCCACAGCCTCCCTTTGCCTCTCCTCTCTCACCCCCCTCTCCACACTCTCTTCCCTCGGGCCCTTCTCCTCGCTCTCCTCTCCTCCATCCCCTTCGCCCCTTAATTCTCTGCCTCCATCCTTCACTTCACATGTAGTCACATGCGCACAATCTTCGCTGCCCGCTCTGCCCTCACATGCATTAACGGCCTTCTCTATAATCACACGGAAGCATTGCTGGATGTATGTGGCTGTAGCCGGTGTGACAGTGGAGGGGGGAGCAGCAGCGCCACTGCCTGGCCTGTTGGGAGAAACGGGAAGAACGATGAACCATGGCTGGCTACGTGCCAAGCTAGCAGGAAGGGCGAAGATGAACTTTTGGGTTACGATTGCCGGTAGAGAGAAAACTATTGAGGCGCCTCAAAACGCGTGGCAGACGAACATCAAGGGCGCGAATGAGGTTTCGGGTTGAATAAAAGTAACAGCATGCACAGAGGTGGGTGGAAGGACGTGGGCCAGACTGACTGTTGCTCCTGCCACCGCTCCTTGGTGCGAGGGGCATGAGCCGGCACCTGTCACGCGCATGCAAGGTACAGTAGGCCACATACGATGGGCTAAGTCTTTTAAGCAACACGCACAGCGGTGGGTGGAAGGACGTGGGCCAGACTGACTGTTGCTCCTGCCATCGTTCCTTGGTGCGAGGGGCGTGAGCCGGCACCTGCCACATGCAACACACAATACTAGTCACAGAGAGTCACAATACGAGCATAATAAAAACAAGACAATCATTATGAACGATATGATATGAACAATGAATGAGCAGCAGACCCACCTGAGCCACAGCAGGCTCCAGCCCATGCTGCTGCGCTACCAGCTGCTTTTGACTGTTGAGGCGCCTAAAAAATCATGCTGCGCTACCAGCTGCTTTTGACGCACCTTCAAAAGTCGGTTTTCTACCCGCGATTTTTATGTTGATTAGAATTCCGTTGCTTCGAAGTGTGCATGTAACCCACCTGAGCCACAGCAAGCTCCAGCCCATGCTGTGTCACCAATTGCTGCAGCGACTCGGGGAGAGCCAATGGATCGCTGCCAGGTGTCAGCACGACGTGCAGCGAGACAGCCCGGCCTGGAGGGCAAAGGAAGGAAAGGACGCACGCACGACATGAGTAAAAAAGGTGACTTTTGAGTCGACTCAAAAGTCACGACATGAGTAAATTCTCGAGGCGCCTGAAAACGTGAGGGAATTGACACCTGGCGTGAAATGCACACTCGATCTCACTCTTACACTTACTCTTCCTCTATCTTCTCCCTATCCCCGTCATATAAACGTTCCTCTGTCATCTATGCACACTCCATTCCCCCCATCCCATCCCTCACCCTCTCACCTTCCCCAGTCCGTCACACTCTCTTCACCTGCTGCAGGCGATAGGAACGTCTGAGACGATCCCTGAGATGTCTCAAAAATCGTCACCCACTCACTCACCTTCCCCTGTCCTCCGTGTAGAGAGGGTGTTTTTGAGACGTCTCAAAAACACCCTCTCTACATGCAGGCGATTTCTGAGACGATACTTGAGGTGTCTAAAACCGTCACCCACTCACTCACCTTCCCCTGTCCTCCGCACTCTCTTCACATGGTGGAGGTCCTTCAGTGGTGCCACTGATGCCAGCTGCCTAGGTAGGGGCAGGGGTGTGTGGGGGCGAAGAGGGTGAGCGGGGGGCGGGGGGTTGGGGAGTGGGAGCCAGGGAAGAGGGAGGAAACGGGAGGGGCGGTCTTGAGTCGACTCAAAAGTCACCTCGTGTGTGGGGGGGAAGAGGGTGAGCAGGGGGGGCGGGGGGTTGGGGAGTGGGAGCCAGGGAAGAGGGAGGAAACGGGAGGGGCGGTCTTGAGCTGCGGTGCTCTTTGAATGCTGAAGCTCCCGCAGTGATGCTGCCGGTGATGCATTTCGGGAAAAATCCAAGTGGAACAACGATGATAACATATTGAATGGGAACTACACTACGCTAACAAATAGGAGCAACATTATCAAGTGGGGTGGTTACTCAACAAGCAGTGGTTTGAAGATTTGCTGATCAGCACGCCACCTGATGCTGGTCGGCTTGATCAGATAGTCAGATGTTTATTTCTGACTTATCAACAACCACCTGATCAACAACCACCTGATCAACAACCACCTGATCAACAACCACCTGATCAGCAACCACCTGATCAACAACCACCTGATCAACAACCACCTGATCAACAACCACCTGATCAGCAACCACCTGATCAACAACCACCTGATTAACAACCACCTGATCAATGACCTGATAAAACTCACTTTATTAATTTATTCGCAAGTGCAGGTTTCACCTCTGCCACCACAACCGGGACTGGCAATAACGAGGACAAAAAAAGAGCAAGGTAAGGAAAATGTTACTGCTCGGAAATCAATTGGTCCTATCCGGCGAAACGCAAGGCCGCATCTCACGCGAAGCGCAGGAGCCGTGCACTCTAGAGTATCTGAGGGTCGAGACGAGTTTTGAGATGTCGCAACGCACGAGAGCCTTGCACTCTAGAGCATCCCAGGGTCGAAAACGCTATTTTCCATGACTTCCACGTCTCGTGAGACAATCTATGCTGCGAGCGCGCTACCTGTGGCATGGTGCGGCTGCTCGTCCTCTCCGGGAATATGCTGCAGCCACGAGGGTAGCAGCTCCTGCTGCTGATTCACTTGAGCCGCCATCGCGCCGCTTGCTGCTGTAATCTCTAGCGCGACGCGAGTAAAGCAAAGGGTTCTGGCGACGGGTACTTAGGTGCGGGTACTAGTACCAACATTTGTGACAGAATCCAGGTTCCTTGGGTTGCGAGTAGCCTGAGGTGATCAAGGCCCCAGGGCGTATTCCCAGGTCTGTATTGACGGTGTGTCCCAGTTCTGTCAGCACGTTCCAAATCGGTGATCCGTAACACGAATCATCTCAACCATCACGCACCTTTTTAAACCGAACTAAACGCATCACACACAAAACTGTGGTGTATCCCGCTCAGACGGGAAGGGCTGTTCTTCGTTACAGAATAAAAGCACGTGAACTTTAACCAACACAACATATTCCATTTAATTCTTCACCGGAGCCTCAAAAGAGTCAGCAACACCGCCCGCTCAAATTAGGGGTGTTTCTTGTGCTTACTCTCGTGGCGCTTCACTGCGCACCTTGTGCTCCCACTTGCCACTTCGGGGGGGTTGGGAGGGACCCGACTAGCGTCTATTCGTGTGACCGTGTTTAGTCGAGTCGAGTCCAGTCTTGAATAGTTGTGACAGTTTCTGTGACGACTAGTGGCTTCGTCTCTTAGTGTGGCACGCGTATTTTCAGCCGTGTTCCCTGTTGTCCCCTTGTTCGCGTCGTGCTCAATAGCTACCGAATAGTTACCCAATAGTTAGCCAATAGTGGTCGAGTCGCAAGCTACTTACTTTGCCACTAACACTGCAATGGAGCGGTCTAAGCGGAGGCGAGTCGCCGTGAACTACGCCAAGCTAGCCGCGGGGGTTCAGGCAGAAGAATCGGACGAGGAGGAGGAAGAAGAGAAGGGAAAGAAGGGGAAGAAAGAGAAAAACGAGACGAAACAGAGGTCGACACGTGGCGGACGCGGATTGATCGCGGCTGCGAGCCTTGCAGCAGCCGCGCCGTCCGCTACCCGGGCGCGGAGCGCGCGCGGAGGGGGAAGTTCCAGCGCGGCGGAGAGTTCCGCGCGCCAGGCGGTCATTGGCGGGCGGAGGGTGGGTTTGCGCGTGCTGACTCCGCGGAAAACAGGGGGAGCGGAGGCAGTAGCGGCAGAGGAAGCGGAGGAGGAAATGGAGGAGGAGGGAGGCATGGGAAAGGTGAAGAGGAAGAGACGAACCAAGAGTGTGGCGGATTTGAGGTGAGAATGAGGAGAGAAAAGACGAGGCGAATAGGCGAGACTAATTCTTAGGCGCCTCAGGAAAAGTAGGAGGCGTGGGAAAGGTGAAGAGGAAGAGACGAACCAAGAGTGTGGCGGATTTGAGGTGAGAATGAGGAGAGAAAAGACGAGGCGAATAGGCGAGACTAATTCTTAGGCGCCTCAGGAAAAGTAGGAGGCGTGGGAAAGGTGAAGAGGAAGAGACGAACCAAGAGTGTGGCGGATTTGAGGTGAGGTTGAGGAGAGAAAAGACGAGAGTGGGGAGTATTAAAATGCGACAAGAAAATTCTCACAAGCCCCCTTGCCCGCAGCCCCACATGCCCCAAGCTCCACATGCCCCCACCGCAGCCCCACATGCCCCAAGCCCCACATGCCCCCACCGCAGCCCCACATGCCCCAAGCTCCACATGCCCCCACCGCAGCCCCACATGCCCCAAGCTCCACATGCCCCCACCGCAGCCCCACATGCCCCAAGCTCCACATGCCCCCACCGCAGCCCCACATGCCCCAAGCTCCACATGCCCCCACCGCAGCCCCACATGCCCCAAGCCCCACATGCCCCAAGCCCCACATGCCCCAAGCCCCACATGCCCCCAGCCCCATCCCATGTTCCTTCCCAAAACAGTCTCCTCTGAGTTTTTTTTTGTTTTCTTTTCTTTTCCCTCATAATGTCCGCTGTTTTTCCGTTCTTCTTTCTTTCCTCGTGATGTCTTCTCTGGCGACCGCTCCTGTGTTGATCACTCCCTTATTTCCCCTTTTTTCACTCCTCGCCTCGCAGCCAACCAGCAGCAGGCCCAACAAGAGGTCGGGGGCAGGGAGGAGCAGCGAAGGCTGAAGATGGGGGGGATGGTGATCATGGTGGGGATGGGGATGGGGAGGAGGATGACAATGAAGGAGCAGAAGAGGAGGCAGAAGCGGTTCAAGATGCGGACTACGATTCTGATGTGAGTTTCCTGCCTGGTGCAGTAACGGCTGATGATGGGGATGATATTGAATGGGGGAATGGGGAGGTGGAAGCGGCACAAGATGCTGACAACGATTCTGACGTGAGTTTCCTGCCTGGTGTCCTTCATATAACTTCTAAGTTAGAAAGCCCATTCTAATCCACGTGACTGTTTGACAGTAAAATTAAAAGAAGCCAAAATATACAGGTTAGAAAATCCCTTATATTTTAATGGGACCAGTAAAGAGGTGGTCTTTGCTTACATACATACACACACAAGAAGCAGTGCTCTGAGGTACCTATGAAGCAGTCTCATCACACACACACAAGAGCATGCAGGCCTTTAGCACCCACCCAACCCAAGAACCCATCCCTTTGCGCTTCTGACCTGTGTAGGCTTCTTCTTGTTCTGTTCCTCCCCACAGGATTTTCGTCCTCAGGATCAAGAGCAAGAGGAAGAAGAGGAGCAGGAGAAAGAGGAGGAGGAAGAAGAAGAGCAAAAAAAGGAACAGGAAAAGCCTCGAGTGCTGGTTAGAAGAGCTCGTTCCACTGCTGCAGCACTGGGGGCAGTGGGTTCGAATGGACGCACGAGAACGCCTGTGGGAGCAGCAGTTTCAAATGGACGCACAAGAACGCCTGTGGGAGCACCAGCTCTAAAAGAAAGTACGAGAAAGACTCTGAGCAAGAAGGGGGCGCCGGTTGTTGCTGCATCTGGCGCCCTGAAACGCAAGTCTAGACTCAAGCAACTGGAGGAGGAGGACGAGGATGAAGGGGAGGAGGAAGAGGAGGTGGGGCAGGAGGAGGAAACAGGCCAGGAAGGAGAGGTGCAAGAAGATGGCGAGGGGGGAGAAGAGGAGGAGGAGGAAGAGGAAGAGGAAGAGGAAGAGGAGGAGGATTTGTTGGGGATAGGTGTGGATGAGGACGAGTCTGAGGACTTCATACCGGGATTGGAGAAGGAAGGACAGGAGGAGGAGCAGGAGGAGGAAGAAGAAGAGGATGAAGAACTAGGGGAAGCGGGGATGGGGGAGGAGGAGGAGGGGGGTGGGGAGAGGGGAGGGGGAAGGAAGCAGGGGAAGGGGTCACGGCAGGCAATGGGGCCGGTATGTGCTGCTGCTGCTGCTGCTGCTGCTGCCTTGTGCTGTGCTGATGCCGCTTTGTGCTGCCATATGAGATGCAACGTCATGCTTTTTCTCCTACCTCACCTCTAAACCCATCACTCTTCTACCTCCGCAACCGCCGTCCCCAATCCCCCCCTCCCTTCTCAGTGCAGCCACCATCCCGACAACCGTTTCCCAAGGCCTGCTCGCATCCTGTTTCCACGCCCTTCCGCTCCCATTCCCTCTCCAAGCCCCTCACATCTCTCTCTCCTTCCCATCTACCCCCAACTTGCCTTTTCCCTCTCATTGCAGCCACCACCCCGGCAACCGTTTCCCAAGGCCCGCACCCAGCCGGTTTCAACGCCCTTCCGCTCCCATTCCCTCTCCAAGGCCTCGCTGCCCCACTCCTCCTCGCTCCCTGCCTCGCGGGCTTTTCCTCGTTCAACCATCAGCCTCGGCAGCAGTGGGAGGGGCGGCAGCAGCAGCTTTGGCAGTGGTGGTATCAGTGGCAGGGGCAGCAGCAGCTTTGGCAGTGGTGGTATCAGTGGCAGGGGCAGCAGCAGCTTTGGCAGCGGTGGCAGGGGTGGTGGTAAGGGTGGTGCTGCGTCTGCTGCAATGGGTGGGGGGGGGGTGAGGAGTCGACTGCTGAAAAAGATGGGGTTCAAAGTGCCTCTGGTGAGTCCTAAGTTCATGCCCAAGGCCATGCAGCAACCTGCGCCCTCTCCCCGGCAAACAGCAGCAGCAGCAGCAGCAGCAGCCGCAGCAGTAGCAGCAGCAGCAGTAGCAGCAGCAGCAGGAGGAGGAGGAGGAGGAGGAACAGGAGGAGCAAGTGGGGCAGGAGCAGCAGCGGCAGGAGTAGTGGAAGGAGGAGCAGGAGCAGCAGTTGGGGCAGCAGCAGGGCTGGTACTGGGAGCAACAGGGACAGGCCCAGCTGCTGCGATTGCTGCTGCTGCTGCTGCTGGTGCTGGTGGTGCTGCTGGTAGTCCTGTAATAAAGAGGTCGTTATCTGCAGGGGCTAGAGGGCCCAGGAGACTAACCACGTTTCTAGATTCTCCTGTGGGGGTTAGGATGGGGCGGGAGGGGAGGAGGGATAGCAGAGACGGGTGGAGGGTAGGTCAGGGAGAGGTGAGGAGGGGAGAGGAGATTGCGGTGGGAGAGGTGGGGACTGAGGGAGGTGAGGGAGGTGCAGGGTTGGGTGAGAGGAGTAGTGGGTTAGATGGCAGGGGTGTGACTGGTGATGGAGGTGATTATACCAGAGGGGCGGCATTTTTTGGCGCTAATGGGCTTGGGATGGCAGTAGATGGCGGGGGCGAGAGGGACGTGCAAATTTATGGAATTTCTCAAAACCTAGATAGGGGCTGGAATGGAAATGCAGAGGGAGGAGGAATGAGTGAGGGAGGACCCGGAAGGAGTGAGGGAGGAGGGGGGGACAGTGAGAGAGAGGATGGGGAGTTTGAGGAAGAGAAAGGGAATGAGGGGGGGGGAGGAGGAGGGGGAGGAGGAGGAGGAGGAGGAGGAGGAGGAGGAGGAGGAGGAGGAGGAGGAGGAGGAGGAGGAGGAGGAGGGAGTGGGCTAGAGGGAGTGAGTGTGGAAGATAGAGGAGAGAGAGGACAAGAAGGAGTAAATGGAGAATCAAGGGAAGGTGGAGGAGGGAGGGTAGCTGACGAATTGGTTCGTGGCAGTGGGAGGGTGATGAGGGAAGGGGTTGAGGGGGGTGCAGATGGGTGTGGTGAGGCGGAAGGAAAGGCAGGGGCAATAGAAAGTGCAGAGGGAGCAGCAGAGAGTATTGCAAGAGCAGGGGGGAATTCAAGACAGGTGGGTGAAGGAGAGAGTATTGCTAGAGACGTGGCTATGAGTAGAGGGCTCGACTCAGAAAACCGCACCAGTCGTGACTCAGAGAAGCACACGAGTCTTGACGTGACTCATGTGCCGTGGGGAGCCAATAGCAGCGATCTTGAGTCAGAGAAGCAGCGGGAAGGTAACAGAGGGCTCGACGACGCTGAGAAGCACAATGGTCGTGGTTCAGAGAAGGACACGAGCCTTGATGTGACTCACGTGCCATGGGGAGCCAATAGCAGCGATCTCGTTGCCGAAGCTCTGAAACGAGCTGCCGAAGCTGGAGTGCGGCTGGCAGCCCGAACCAGCCAAGCAGGTCAGGAGAGCATCGGACCTACTGGCATGAGAACACAGGCTTCTTCAGCTGAAGGGGAAAATCCTGTGGTGGGGAAAGGAACACACGACAATCCATAGCCAATCCTCCTCTTCCTCCAGTATCCTGGAGTAGATTCTGTTTAGAAGAAGCAAAGGGAAACAAAACAAGCAAGCAAATTGGCAGCCTGGTTCAGTTTAGACATTAGCGTAGTGTTGTTCCACGGTTCCTGTTAACCTATATACACCTACTCCTGATTTGTTCTTAAGTGCGTACTATTGAAATCCACCCGCACTTGTTTAGTGGAATGGGAATGAATGTGTGGAGGTGTTGATTACGAATGTGAGGGAGGAGTTTCTGTTGTATCCAGCACGGGTGTTCTGTGTTGAGTTCAGCAGCAGAAGCAAGTGTACTTGCCCTGGGTTAGGTAGGTTACTCATGTTTTGAGTTGCAAATGCAGCAGCAGCAGCAGCCCGCCTCCAATGTGATGGGATCTGTTACCGGTATGTATGTACAGCAACATGTAACTCAGAAGGGTTGATAATACTTACATGGCAACATGGATTACAGTGATAACCAACAAAGATGCCATTAACGGAGGGAAACATCACATCACATCACATCACATCACATCCTGGATCTAAGACCTTTGTCTCTACCAGTGGTGGCTCTCCCGCTGTGCTGAGCCTTACCAGCACTGGAAGCACAGCCGCAATCAGTAGCTTGCACACAGCTTCCATTCCGCCCAGCTGTCCACTCCATGTTGCCTCCCTGCTGCTGTTGATCTGTCCGCTGCTCCTGCTGCTGTTGATCTGTCCGCTGCTCCCGCTGCTGCTGATCTGTCCGCTGGTCCCACTGCTGCTTCCAAAGGGAGAGGACCTGGGCAAGGAAGCCTTGCAGGGCTGTGATGTACTCCTGCCTGTGGTGCCTCAGATGACCTGGTGGCAGCACGGGAATCGGGAAGTGGGGGAAGAAATGCAGATTGATGTGTTTAAAAAGAAGAGAGATGCAAGGAAGGCTGTGAGGGCTGTGATGTACTCGTGCCTGTGGTGCCTCAGATGACCTGGTGGCAGCATGAGTATCGGGGAGGGGAAGAAAGGGTGTTTCAAAGGAGGGAGCCAAGCCAAGATCACGAGCCCATGCAAGGAAGCATTGCAGGGCTGTAGTGTACTCGTGCCTGTGGTGCCTCAGATGGCCTGGTGGCAGCATGGGAATCGGGGAGGGAAAGAAAGGGTGTTTGGAAGGAGGGAGCTAAGCTAAGCTAACATCACGAGCCCATTCAAGGAAGCATTGCAGGGCTGTAGTGTACTCGTGCCTGTGGTGCCGCAGATGGCCTGGTGGCAGCACGGGGATCGGGGAGGGAAAGAAAGGGTGTTTGGAAGGAGGGAGCTAAACTAAGCTAACATCACGAGCCCATTCAAGGAAGCATTGCAGGGCTGTAGTGTACTCGTGCCTGTGGTGCCGCAGATGGCCTGGTGGCAGCACGGGGATCGGGGAGGGAAAGAAAGGGTGTTTGGAAGGAGGGAGCTAAACTAAGCTAACATCACGAGCCCATTCAAGGAAGCATTGCAGGGCTGTAGTGTACTCGTGCCTGTGGTGCCGCAGATGGCCTGGTGGCAGCACGGGGATCGGGGAGGGAAAGAAAGGGTGTTTGGAAGGAGGGAGCTAAACTAAGCTAACATCACGAGCCCATTCAAGGAAGCATTGCAGGGCTGTAGTGTACTCGTGCCTGTGGTGCCTCCGAGAGAATGGGAAAGGGGAGAGAAGTTCTCTAACTCACCAACATGCTCCAATGTGCTCCATTCCACTCTCCTCACTGCTGCGCCCCTCGCCCCTGCTGTTCTCGCCCATACACTTCCCAAGCAGCTCAATAACACCCCTCGGACCTGTGCCTGTGCACCTGCTATCACGCATCCCTTCCCCACTCACCAACATGCTCCGATGTGCTCCATTCCACCTTCGTCAGTACCGCGCCGCTTCCCACTGCCTCTCTCTCATACTGGCGAATGAACCCAATGGGAGCCAGCTGGTCGTCCGTGCTGCACAGCAGCAGCACCGGCGCCAGGGGCTGGAGGGGGGGATGGGGCATGCGGGTGAAAGAGAACATGCGGACGGGGGAAGGCAGATGAGGTCGTGCGGATGAATTCAATGGGAGCCAGCTGGTCGTCCGTGCTGCACAGCAGCAGCACCGGCGCCAGGGGCTGGAAGGGGGATGGGGAATGCGGTTGATTGAAAGTGAACATGCGGACGAGGGAAGGCAGATGAGGTCGTGCGGATGAAGCTGAAGATTTTAAGAGTAGAATCTCTGAAGAAGGATACTCCAAGCAGCTTGGTTGGCAACGATGCAGGCTCAGCGTAACGGAGGGCTGTGGAGATGGGAAGCGTAGAATGGAAGGGAGCAGGGAGCAGGGAGCAGGGAGCAGGGAGCAGGGAACAACACGCACCGAGCAGTGGAGGAGTGTGGCCCACTGTGCTGCCCGCTGCTTCTCAAACTCGGGCAGCAGCAGCCAGTCAAGCACGACAGCTGCTGACCGCACCAACGTGTGCCGCACAGTCCTCGGCTGCTGGGCGGCTGTGGCAGCAGAAGCTGCAGGAGCAACAGGAGCAGGAGTGGCAGGAGTAGTGGCAGCAGCAAGAGCAGTCGCAACAGCAGAAGCAGGAGCAGAACCAGTGGATTGAGGGGTGAGGGGCGGTTGGGAGGGTAAAGGTTGTTGGGAGGTGGCGGATGCTTGGGAAGTGGCTTGTGGTTGAGCAGTTACAGGTGGAGGTTGGGAGAGGAACCTGACGCCTAGGTCAGACGTGAAGTCAACGGGAGAGGAGTCAAAGACCTGCCCGGCGTAGCACTCTCGGAGGAGTGAAAGGAAGTGCCTGTGGGAGGTGGAAACCTCGCCGCTTTCTCTCTTTGATGGCAGTGCTGATGGTGGGGAGGCTGATGACGGCACTGGTGCTAAAGCTGCTGCTGTCCCTGTGGCAGTTGCATCACGATGCATCCCCTCTGGAGCGAATGTGGAGAGCAGAGCCTGCAGAATGCAGCGATGACGAGTCAGAAACGTTACTAGGCTGTCAGTTACGGAAAAAAAACGTCACAAGAGAACATGGATGTGAGAGAGACAGCAGTGGGACAGAACGAGGGACAGTGAGTAGGATTGGCGTGCATTCTCTTATTTTTTCTCACAAGGAAAACTTCAAGAACACCACTGTTCATACCTACCTCCATGATCTTCCACTGGCAGGCCTTGTACCCTCCAGAAAACGACATGAACACCACTGGCCGAGGCCGCCCTGCAAGCTCCTGGGCGGCAGGGAGGAGGACGGTAGGATGTTGAAATGCAAAAGAACAAGTCAGGATGTTGAAATGCAACGCAACAAAGCAGGTATTACCTGCAGGAGAGATTGTTATTCGTCTAGGCATGAAACACTGAGATGAGTATGTCACTGAAGATGACGTCATGTATGAAATGCCTTTTCTAGTTCGGCCAGGACTCCTCTTGCCAGTGCTTCTGCTCTCCAGGGCATCCATCTGATGCGATGCGATGCAGTGAAATGTGAGAATGTGAAGAGGGGGAGAACGCGGGGATGCGGAGAATGAGGGGCGGGGGAGAATTCGGGGAGGGGGAGAGGCGCCTCAAAAGACGCCAGAAATTGAGTATTGAGGCGCCTCAAAAGTGAGAATGGGGGGAAGGGGAGAATGCGGGGAGGGGGAGAATGAGGGGAGGGGGAGAATGCGAAGAGGGGGCGAATGAGGGGAGGGGGAGAATCCAAAGACGGGGAGAATGACAAGAGGGGAAAGTGAGAATCTTTTGCATTACAGGTGAAGCAGCAGGGGATGGCAGGCGAGGGCATCCCATCCGCACTCGTTGATCACGCGCAGGTACGCCGCCAGTTGCCGTTGCGTGCTCTGCATCCACCCCATCACAACCACTATCGGCCTCGTACTGATACTTGTTACTCTCAAAGTAGCAGAGCTGTGTTGGCTGAACTGCGTCGACTGACGCTGACGGAATCCATTTACGGCTTCTGGTAAGGAGCTGGATTGCGGACGGAATCCGTCTAGAGCGGTCGGATTCTGGCTGCGGGAATCTGCACTGCATTCTCCCTGGTGTGCTTCTGAGCAGTCGGCAGTTTGTGATCTGATGCTTTCGTTTCGTGAAGTGGAAGTGGCGTGAGCTGCTAGGGGACCGACATTGGCTAGAGCGTTGCGTTCTTGTAACGAAAGCGCCGTAGTCTCGGACGGGATTGACGACGCTGTATGATCGGAGCTTGTCTCGTGAGCGCTTGAACAGCGGAAAGGCGAATGTTCAGGAGATTGAATTGCTGAACGTCCATGATAATGCTCATGTGCAGGCCCTGGAATGGAAGAGCTGACTGATTCCGTCGCTACTCTGCTCCAGTATATCAGTGACTTGCTGTTCTGTGTCTTAGCCATTTTGGGTTTATATGCTTTCGCCTCTTTCATGGCTGACTTGGACATGATGGGTTCTTGCAAGGAGCAAGAATTGGGAGTGGCTTGGGGCGTGCCACACTCACCTTGTTCTCTCCAACGGCCTTCCACAACCGTGCTAACTATTCTTATAACATTCTAGATTGCATTGAACCTAAAGAAAACGTACTCAAACGTACGTTCTGTCAATTATCAACTTCCAAAGCTGGTACTGAAACTTCCACCCTCCGGTGCTGTTTTGAAACCTGGATCTAGCGCTCGATCTGATCAGGTTACCATTTTTTATTTCGATAATATTGCCAAACATCCACAGTCGTAAGTCGCCACCATCGGTACAGTGCCTAAATTTGCGCTGCATTTAGAAAGGACTTCAGAAATATGTAGCTCAGTGGCCGAGTCAAAACACGCCCTCAGAGTTTGTCGGAGTGCCTCGGGATCATCATTCTGAATCTAGATGCCTCGGGAACTGTTTTCCCAGCAAGCAGTTCTGCACGGACGCTTGACATTCCCAGTCCTGAGTCCCGCAGACCTGGCGACTTACGCGCAGACCTGTTCAGGGTCGGGTCTTCCACGACATTCAGGTCACCAGCTAGGAGCAACTTGCTCCGACCACCTAGGTTGGCAAAAATCCATCGCCAGTTGGGCACGCCAATTATTTTTCTTCCCAGCTCCCTCATTTGTGTCAGAACTGTTCCAGTCACAAAAGGGACCACTCACAGCTCACCGTCACATGCGGCGCCACTTTTGGCAGGTGCTCTAAAAAAATGACAGCCGTCGAAGCGCGTGCAACCATCATGGATTTCGCTGGAGCAGTCCCTCCCTACGGTAAACTCCTCCTCCTCCTCACTCGTCCTGTGCTTCATCGAAGCGCGTCCAGCCAGCATGAAGAATTGACTTCGAATCCTCTCCTCCTCACCCTCGTACTCAATCTTACGTCGTTCGAGATTTTCTTGCCAGTTCAAGCCGACCGACGAATAGTGTGAGGCCGTGACACATGCAGCGCGTGAAACGCATCAATTCACAGCAATCAGCTTGAGCAAAAAGCTCAGCTGTTCGATTCGTACCTCGTGCTCGGGATAGCCTCTAGTCATAAGAAAGGGAAGGCACATCCGCTAACTTTCCAACTATTCGTGGCTTCGTCTTTGCGCTTCGCTGCATGCGGACTGCGGCGAGCGTTGCCAGTAGTACCGCAACCTGTCACACCCGAATGCTTGATGGTCATTCGCAAGTTAGAAGTGCGATTTGCTTGTGATAATGTGATCCTTACGTTGACATTGCATCATCGCGATCCGAATGCTTTCTTCGCCCGTGTCGTATGACTGTCATACTAAGATATTCTCTTCTGGTCCCACAGGTTCAGGACTTACTAGGTTACGGTCAAATATTTTTACGCGTGCGCAGAACCTCTCGTTCTAGGGTCATTCTTTGCTGGAGGTTCCTAGAGTTCACGGGCCACAGCGGCAGGAAATGCGTCATAAAACGCCAAGACACGAGAGTGGTGATTACCGCTGCCACTGGCCACGTAGGCCACCGATAGGACTGGCGAAACGAAGGACGATCTTAGGGCATTCCACGATGGGACAGGGAAGGCGTAGGACAATCTTAGGGCATCCTTTGACAAATCCGAGGCTAAGCGCGATCTTAGGCAATCAACCGTCTGAAACATATGTCGGCAACGAGCGTATCATGTCGGTCGCCGCAATCCCCGTAGTGTCCTCCCTCAATATGCATCTTTTCGCCATCGTTTCTCTATACGTATTTATCTCCACGTACTGGATAGTTGAGCTTAATTGTGCTCCCCGTCGTAGTAAAAAAGGCAAGCTTTGCTTCGGAACAACGGCATTCAGACACCCCTCGTTTATACACCCCTCGTTCATACACCCCTCGTTCATACACCCCTCGTTCTCAACGGACTGCGTAGCAGCACATGTCAGTCATTCGTTTCGACCTGCCGTTTCCGCGCTGCTGCTTCCGCGCTACGCTTTCCGCGCAGCTGCTTCCGCGCTACGCTTTCCGCGCTGCTGCTTCCGCGCTACGCTTTCCGCGCTGCTGTCTCGAGTATCTCCACAACCACCGGCAATACGCTGAAGCGGAAACAGGACCACTCCGAGGTTCGGCAACTGAATGACTGCCGAAAGCTCTAATCTCCGTGCGGCTACTCCGAAGTTCGGAAACACATCGAACCCCGCGGCTGAACGGCGGTCACCTGGCCGCGGCAGATCAAGGGAACTCGCGCAACAGACTCAACCGCGCGTCGCAGTCGACGACGAGAACCGTGGCGATTCTCGTCACGGGGACGGAATCCGTCGCGCTCCGTTCGTCGACGAAGAACAGCGTCCGTCACGGCGGGACGCTACAGCCTCTTCGCCACCACAGGCGGGAATTCTCCGCAGCTCCCACGAAGGACGAAGCCGACACGAAGCTTCTGCGCACATGCCTTTCGCTCTCGAAGAGGAAATCTCCACGAAAGTGCGGGAACTTCCTATGGCGGGGCGCAAGATCCTATCTCCACGAAGGACGATGAATGGCGCGGAGAGAATGGTCGCGGAATCCGCGGCGGAGAAACGCGGCGACGGCGAGACTGCGACGAAGGAGTACGGCGATGAAGGCTACGACGGCGACGAGGCTCGAGTAACTCGTCGCAGACGCACCGTCAACGAAGGAGTACGACGGCGAGACGGCGACGAGGTTCGAATGGCGTGGCGAGACGCGAATGATGCGCGGTTAGAAAGCGCCCACGCGTCAACGCCGCAAGATATTGACCTCAACGTGGACCCGAACCCGAGCCTGGATATAAGCTTGGGTCCGAACCGGAATCCGAACCTGAGTCCGAGCCCGAACCCGAACCTGAATCCGAACCTGAATTTGAGCCCAGATACGAGCCTTGACTCGACCCTTCCTTCTGGGCGGGAGGCTGAAGCAGTTTCGGCACATGGAGGATCAACACGTGAGCCAGTGCCGCTGCCATTGACGCTACCACAAGCTGATTCTCAGGCGCCTCGAGAGCAGCTTTCTACCCTGCCGTTGGCGCCTCGTGCGGAGAAGGGGTTTTTGCCTGCTAAGCATGAGTCTTACACACATGGAGGATCAACACGTGAGCCAGTGCCGCTGCCATTGACGCTAGCACAAGTTGATTCTCAGGCGCCTCGAGAGCAGCTTCCCCCACTGCAGTTGGCGCCAGGTGCGGAGAGGGTTTTTTTCCTGCTAAGCATGAATCTTACACGCCAAGGCACGGAGACACGGGGAGCGGAAGGGAGGGTCCTGCTGATAGGGTTATTTCGCCTGCTGCAGCCGACCAGCTTGACTTCTACACGCCCAGACACGGGGTGTGTGTGTGGAAGGATCCACTGTTGAAGCAAGAAGACGTTGAACAAGGGGTCAGCGAGCTGAGCCTCTCCCTTACAGGGGACAGAGCAGGGATAAGGCCCAGGCACGGAGTGTCTGTGTGGGAGACCCGGCTTAGCCTCCAGGCTCCACCGTCGAAGCAAGATGACGCAGGTCAGAGAGCCAACGAGTTGAGCCTTTCCCTTCCCGGCAACAGAGCAGGGATGGGAAGGCTAGGTAGCAGTGAGGAGATTGGAAGGCTCGGCAGCAGTGGCGGCTGCAGTGGCAGCGTGGGCGGCAGGAGAAGCGTTGAGGAGGAGAGGGAGATCGTTTCCTCTGAAGGGAACAATCAGCAAGGACCACAGCCGGAGCAGAGGCAGGGGAAGGGGCAGGGGAAGGAGCAGGGGGAGGAGCAGGGGAAGTGCCAGGGGCAGGGGCAGGGGGAGGGGAAGGGGAAGTGGAAGGTGCAGGGGCAAGGACGGTCCAGACAGAGAGAAGAACCTCAAATTTTCAAACTGCGTCGATGGGTGTCTGGATTCGCTGCAGGTGCTACAGCCGCTGCAGGTGCTACAGCCGCTGCAGTTTCTACTGCTGTTGCTGGTACAGCAGCCGCTGCTGGTGCTACAGCCGCTGCAGTTTCTACTGCTGTTGCTGGTACAGCAGCCGCTGCTGGTGCTACGGCCGCTGCTGGTGCTACAGCCGCTGCTGGTGCTACAGCCGCTGCTGGTGCCACGGCCGCTGCTGCGGACAACGTTTGTGGTACAGGCGCTGCCGCTGACAGCGGTGGTGTTACAGCCGCTGCTGCAGGTTTTTCTCCGATCCTACGCCTGCCAGAGCCCATCATGATTGCACGAGAGGCTCGGACCGATCCTGCAGCACTGTCCGAACGTGGTCGGGAGGTACAAGGCTCAACCAGAGTAGATTCTAATGCTCCAAGCACTGCCATCCCTCTCTCGGTCACACCGTTTCCCCACTTGAGTACACCACCTTCCTCTTTCTATTCACCACCTTCTCCCTTCAATACACCACCTTCCCTGTTCAATCCACCTACTTCGCCTCTTTGTTGGAACCCACCAAG